GGAGGGTACTTTTTATTTTTAAATTTATCAAGCATTTTGTCAGAGAACTTGATCTGCATATCAATCACATCTTTGAAATTTGCACTGTCATTTAGAACATAATATTATGTGCTGTGTGTAGTTGGAAAGAATGTACATATATATACACATAACCTCTGTTTTGTCTGTATCCTTACAAATTCCACATCTGCTTGATATGTCTGTCCATGTCTGGTACAGATGTGCTAAAATCCCCCTGTGATTGTGAATTTGAATCTTTTTGTCACCCTTTATAACCCTTTTAGATATATCTTTTTAAAACCAGCAAATATATTGATTCCATTCTCCTAATTCAATCTGATGTTTCTTTAAAACAAATTTTTATTTTCCTTAGATTCATTGTGATACATTGGGACTTACTACTGTCATTTTTACTTTTTTTTCCTTCCCTGATTTCTTTTGGATTTATGGTTTACTATACTTTCTTCCTCCTCTGCTGGAGACCTTTAAAATTTTTGGTCATATATTCTCTATCGTAAAGGAAGTAATTTCTGTAATATTGAAATTTTAAGCTAAGTCCATTACATTACAAAGGTATCCAGCTGATATATCACAGCAATTTGATATTCACCATCACTCCTTAAAAGTTATTGAAATTTTATGCTATTTTATTTCTAAATTATATCTCCATTATACTTTCCCATGTAATTTTATCTCATTGGAATATAGTGTATTGCCTGATAGTCTTTTACTGGTACTTTATTATACATCTCTGACTCAAAATACATGAAAAACATTTACTGAAATAAAAAATATTTTTAGAAATTAAAAAAATATATTTCTAATAACTATAAACCTCCAAGTGTTGAAGATTGTTGTTTGGATTATCATTACTATTCAAATGATAAAAACATAAATATATTAATTTTAATAAATTATTAAAAACATAACATTAAGTTTTATTGGAAATGTATCTTAATGAGGATAGTGCTGTATTTTATTTTCACAAATATTGCTAATTGCTAGAATAAGACATCTACTTTATTACTATTTTCTATGTATAATGTAATATATAGAATATATAAAATGTATACATATATAATATATAAATGTTAAATATACGTATGTATAAATGCTAAAATTCATTCACGTATATAGTAAAAAGGGATAGAAAGAATTCTGTTGTAGTGATGTCACTCATTTCTTGAATTCCTTTTAAGTTATATGCCAAAACTTATAAACTAGTCTGTCATCAAATTATTTTTAATGATTTTAATTGACAATCTGATTAAGCTTTCTTCAATTTTGCTGAAAGCAAAGAGCTCAAAACTACCCTCACTAAAGACCTTATTTTCAAGCCATTTTCCTTCTCAATTCTTTGGAAAGTTAACCAAAGATGTTTATTACTAAGACTTATCTATAACTCTTTCACAGAGTCCTCTTGCTCATGGAGCTTAAAATTAAGATAAAATGGAGTAAAAATACCCCCACAAAATTTGAAATTGCACAGATTTCTTGAGGATAATTTTATATAGATTAGAAACTGTATGTTTGAAAGTTATAGTTTTTACAAAATTAGGATGTAATATAAAAGAATTAATCATAACTAAATAAAGTTGATTTTCTAAAGTTAAATGTACTATGTCCTAGTGTACATTTTGGGAATACTTATTCCATTTACCAATATAAGTATACGTTCTGCTTTTATGATTATTGTTTATGGTATTTTTATCAAACTAAGATACACATCTTAACATTTATGAAATTGGGATGCATCTTACAATTGATGGCATATCATAGTGGGTAGTGTTTTTACTAAGTGGTATGTAACAGTGAATCACAGAATAGCGTCTTAGATTAGATGAAAAATTAGGTTGTGGAAATTAGGAGGTAAAAACTATATTGAATCACTAGTAAGCCAGGTATATCAATGACTATTATGGGTTTTATTTATAATAAAACCCATAATAGTTAATAGTTTTGTTAATTTAAACCTAAATACATATTAAGAATGAAAAAAGCTTAGGAAATAAGGAAGAGACTTGGGCTAGGTAAAAAATTAATAAGGATTTACAAAATCTAATAATGAACTGGCAAAGGTTAATAAGTTTCTCCTAAGAAATCTGAAAAATGCTCTGGAAAATATACAATCATGAACTTACCTTTGGTATGTGATTTGAAAATCTAATATTAGTATGTCAGAAATAAACATGGACCTTTAATTTCTTCCTCCTTGAAATCATGCTAATTATGCTACTGAGACAGGTTTGAGACATTATTTATCAGGCTCTTTACCATTATTGAGAATGGTGAAAATAGTTTGCTTGACAGCATTTACCAAAACCCATCATGTTTTTGTACCAATTTCGAATATTCTAAGATAGATGAGACAAATAATCTTATCATTTGTTACCTAAAAATAAGGTACCTTTACCTTCATGTTATGTTCTTGCTCTTTGCTTTACTTTCACATGATTCACCCACAGGAAAAATGAATTTTTGATCAGGAAACAAAAAAGGCAAGGTCATTAAATAAGAACTATCATTATACTATCTCCTACTTGACCACACATCTGAATTCTGAAAATCTCCACATTGGCCAATATAACCCATTTCTAAGACCACACTTCACTCACAATGAAAATTAACTTCCACCATATTTTAAATAGAGCAGTCAGAAAAGGTCTGTTCAGGTTGCAAGGGAAGGGATGTAACTCCACATCTTGATGGGGTAGTGCAAGGTTCTGGAAGAGTATGTGGGACCTGAAATATTGTTGGGCTTGTTTTTGGAAAACACAAGCTGCCATAGTTTTCTTACGTAAAGTGGGAGAAGGGTTATTATGAAAAGGCAGAAGATAAAAAGGAGAACTGGCACAATTCACCAAACATGGAAATGTTCTTTAGGCAGATCATTTTAACAAAGAGTATATATGGGAATTGAGGATCTGCAAAGGTTTTTATGCCTGCATTTCCCTTGGAAGGCTGAAGACTCCCAGAAGTACACACACCCTTGTTTGAAGACCCCACTACAGATTATACTTCTGTTCTTTAGTTATCTGAATATTCAGGATGCATACTTAACTAAAACTTTTTCCAACTTATATAGCATTTCTACGGAGGCAAAAATGTGTATTTTGAAACACTAGAAAACAATTATTTTTCATTTTAAAGAATGATCAGTTCCTTTCATTCAGCTAAACAAAGATAGGCTAATAATAGCAACAAACCAAATTATCAATGTTGCAAGAACTTGGATATCTGAAGACACTACTAACTAGAGCGAAATAGCAATGCACCCTTCCTGAGGACAAAAAAAAAGTTTTTCTTAAGAAAAGTCAGAAAAGGTCAGACCCCTGGAAGTAGATGTTGGGGACTTGGCAAGAAAGAAATTTTACATTTAGTTTTTAACATTACACTTATAGTGAAATAAAATGCACATAAACCATTGGAACCGTTACAATTTGTGTATCTTCCAAATATGATATGAATACATTGGCACAAAATTCTTCCTGACTTCCTTTTTCATCTTTGCCAATAACCCAGTGATCTCTAAGAGGTGGTTTAATAATTATTTCCAAATGTCACTTCCTGAAGATAGTATATCTTACCTATAAAGTTCATTAAAAGATTTGTAAGTATTCTACTTGTTCTAATTTCCATCACACATAATGACCTCAAATAATCTGGAAAGACAATGTGTTAAATAATAAAGACATTTCCTTTAAAATATTGGGGAAAATTACTAATTTACTATCCCTTTTATATAGAGGAGACAAGGCAGAGCAATATAGTAGTTATAATCAGAAGGTCTACATTCATTCACCAAATATTTATTAAGCACCTACTATTTCCCAGACATCATTCTAGGAGCTGAGGCTCTATAGGGGTGAATGAGAAAGTAATAGCTACCATTTATTGAGTGCTTACTATGTGCCAGGCTCTGGCCTAAGAGTTGCACACATATAAACCCATTGAATCCTCAAACACAATACCTCTATGACATGGGTACTATTTTCATTTTACATATGAAAAAATTGAGGCATAGAGAAGTTAAATAACTGAATCAGCTAGTAGTTGGTACAAACAGTCCTGGCTGTTGTGAAGCTAAACTCCTTCCCTTCTCATTTTCTTCTTTGCCTCTGCAAAAGACCTAACAGAACAGAGTGTGGCTCAAATAGGTGTGTGACCTTTTCATTTTTAGATGTTTCTTTTTTGGGGATGTTTAAAAAGAATTTTAACTAGCTCTACCTTCATCGTGTTGTGATCTCAAAACATTTAAAAAGCCTGAATGTTAGAAAACTTAGCTTTATTTAAATATTTGCGGGAGAAATACAGGTATATACACGTAGCATCCCTTCCTTTGGAAAACCACTATTCTAATCCACGCAGGCCTAGCAGGGCTGAAGATTATGGGACCCTGTCTCGTTATAGGGGAGGTCAATAGTTCAAGGCCTCACTGCCTTGGGCATAATTATTGGTTCAAGTCTATAGAATCATGAATCAGGCATGACAAATTTGTCTTTCTTGGGATGGACGGTATTAGGAAATGTTCTCTTCACAATGGAAGTGATTTCAGACTGCTGGTATCCATCTTCCTTGGCTCAAGAGAAGATGACCCCGTAATATTGAGAGATGTTCAGAAATTCAGATACAGAACACTTTAATCTAGCTACACAAGAAATAGGTCTATCATTGTCCTTTCTAGTTAAATGAGTATAAAAAGAATAAATACCCTCTTTTACTTAAGTGTAAGTGGGTTTCTGTGACTTTCAATAAAGTTTCAATGCATTTTTACAAAAGCATTACATAACTATGCACAAACAATGGTTGTAATAAATATGAATAGAATTCTTTTCTGTTCTCTTCCTTCACCCTTTTTCCCTATGAACAAATATAGAACTATCTACAGCTCAAAGGATGGTTTATTTCATTTTCAAAAGTAGTATGCAAAATATTTATCTATGAATTCTAAGCAAGTGATTACAGGCATTATTTTGATAATTCCACTTCTTTAGCATATGACAAAACCACAATATATCTAGAAAGACAAAATGTTTTATTTTAAAACATTGGAAAAACCATTGAAAAGACAAATGTCCATTATATAACCATGAACGTTAAATATCTGGAAACTGTAAATCTTCTAAAATGTGGTAGGCACTTCCAAAGAGCTAAATATTGCAAATTATTCTACTGGATGTTTTCTCTATTATCAACAATACTTGATATGATGAAAAATACCAAGAAGACCCAACTAATTATTCAAAGTCACCATCTTAGGGTTCAACTTAATTACACAAGTAAAAGTTTTGTCCAAGATGTTCCTGTCACAAGAAGCTTCCCGGTGAATTTCAGAAATGTTAACAAAAGTATCTTCCTTTTTTGCCTGTGAATGTTTGAGTATTGCTGTACTGTTGGTTAATATCCACTACAGATACTGGTTCTAGGCCAGCCCAAGGGTCTTCAAGCATTGAAGGCTTGAAATAACTTTCCAACTCATTAGACATTCTTTTTTCTCTACCACGCCCTGATCCAAATGGTGTAGATGTCCTTGGAGAACCCTTTAGAAAAAAAATCATCAGTTAAAAAAATGTTTAGTAGAGATAATTGGCACTTTTTTTTTTAAAGCTAGTGGGGATCACATTGCTAGTTAAAAATTGTGTTTTGAACCCAAACATGTTCAACTGCAAAGTCGGTTCTTCCTTTAATCTAGTGTTTTTGTTCCTAAAAGTATTTAAGCCAGTTTGATATACTTGTGTATTAATAAGTCCATGCCAACTGTCACCTTCAAATACTTCTAGATTTCTAGTGTAGTAACTCTGTAGAACTATCAGTTGGTGATAAAATAAGAAATTAATTATATTTTAATTTTTCCTCAAAATTTTCATCTTTTTCTGAAATTAAAACTTTTTTTTTAACCCTACACCTTCAAAATTTCTAGAACCTTTACATCCTACGAAATTTTATCTCTTTATAAAGCACCAGACTCTAAGGGGGTGAGGTTGGTTTAGTATAAGGAAAATTAGAAAACCATGTAAGTTTTAAACGACAGAAACCCTAGACACATCAGAAATACCCCCTGGGCCTTCCTGAATTCACTTACTGAGAATGGGAAACTTCCAATATCACTGATTTTCCTTTAAGAAGGCTTGGAGCAGGAGACAGTGTCGTTTGAAGCTCCTAGCCCCCTCCCGCCGCCCTCGCCTAAAAAAGGTACCGGTAGTAAGAAAATGGCACCAGGCTAAAACCCAGTAACTCAGAGGAACTCTATGCTGGTGAGTCATTCGTTCCCCCCACCCCCCCACCCTCGGAGAATAATTTACACACACGAACTGGCAAGGTCCCTGGCAAAGGGGAGGGAATTAGGGAAATCTGTGTATGAATGGCAGTGTACTAGTTCAAAGCAGGAGGGCTCTAGAAACACAAAGTACAGCTCTATTACTTAAGATAATCTAAAGAAAGTTACTTAACTTCTCTCAGCCTCAGTTTACTCATCTGCAAAACAGGGCCAACAATAGTATCTCACCTCATAGAGGATTAAACAAAATAATCCATGTAAAGGGATTATTAGCACCATGCCTGCCATACAGTAAGAGCTCGGCAAACGCTGGCTATTATTACCTGGGGGTGGGTCTGCTGCTGCCCTGGGGAGTAGCCGAATTGCTGCTGGGACCCCGCGGGGGACTTGGAGTAGGAGCCAGGGTAGCCGCCAGGGGACGGAGACCCGAATCGGCCCCCCGGGAAGCTGCCGCCGTGTCGCGGAGAGTGGCTGCTCCCGTAGGGCCTAGACCGGGGCCCGTACGGCGGCGTGTGGTGCGGACTCCCGTACCCGTCCCGAGGGGAGGGCGGCCGCGGTCCGCCTCCGCCCGGGGTACCCCGGAAGCTGCTCCCGCTACCCCAACCTCCTACACCCGCGCCGGGGTAGGGAGGAGTCGGGGGTCGAAAATTCTGTCGGTGCATATCAGGAGATGAAGACGAAGACCTCACTGCCGCGTTCTCCCGCCGGAACTGTCCCGACCAACCCTTCTCAGAGACTCGGTGGTCCTTCGGCAAAACAGTCCTCTGCCTTTCAGCGCAGTACAGCATATTGGTTCCGGCGTCGCAAGGGTTCCGCTAGGGACAGGCCAGTACGTGGATTACTGAATTGGGTGGAGATTGAGCGGATTGAAGTAAAGGAAGGATAAACAAAAAAAAACAACAACAAAAGAAAGGCCGAACCCTCGGCTCCAGCAAAGAGCTTTGTCGTCTTTTGCGGTGTGCGGTCGGGACCGACTAACTAGACAACTCCCGAACGCAGTGACAAGGGATCCAGAGCACTTCGACGGAGCTCCGCCCAGTGGGGGCTGCCCAGTTGGGGGCGGGGCCTGGTGTGCTCGCGGGCGCCTCCAGTGGCGGCGAACGGCGCGCGCGCTGTGCTCTTTCCTCACGCAGGGTCCTAGGCTAACCGAGAGGCGCGCGATGCTGGCGACGCTGGCGAGGGTTGCGGCTCTGCGGAAAACCCGCCTTCTCTTCGGCCCGGGCGGCGGGAGGGGGCTGTGGACCGGCCGCCCGCAGTCAGGTACTCTCCGAGACGCGGTCCGGGCGGCGAAGGGGAACCCAGCCCCTGTCTCCCCTTCGGGCGGCGCCATGGAGAGAGCGCCCGCGCTTTCCTGAAGTGTCTCCTGTCCCCGCAGCCCGCCCTTTGGCCTCTCCCGCCTCCCGGGGCCCTCGCTTGTTGGCCCCGCGGCCGGCTTGGCCCCGCGCCCCCAGCCGCCCGGGGTCACCTGCCCGGCTTCCCGGTCGAGGGCCCGAGAGTTCGCCCCTGCGCGATCGTACTGGGCGGACGCCTCGCCTCTGCCCCTTACCCCTTCCCTGTGTCCCCCGAGTTTAAGTAACTTTAAAAAGGTACACCCAGCCGCATTTCAGAAAGGATTTCAGAATACATCTCTGCATAACTTGGGGGGAGAGCCTGTGGTAACTCATATCGGACTTCAGCCCCTTCCTTGTTCTTGTTAAATGGAAGCGGGTTAGGGAGGCGGCTCCAAGGCAGATGCTGATTTTCAGAGAGCAAACTTTGACCGAAGCTTTTAAAATCTTGACTGTTTCACGAACTGTTGGTTATAAAGACGAATGTGCTAATTCAGGAACGACACCTACTGTATAATAAAACACGCTTTTGTACCAGACACCTGTCCCAGAATTTTATTTAGAAAATGTAGTTTAAATTGACTACCGTTTTAAAGAACTTTCTTTACTCCCTCAGAATTTGGGAATGATAGTCCACCATGACTCTTGAAATCAGCTCGCAGGAAACAGAATCTTAAGGAACTTTAGGACTCATTAAATCACAGCCTAACGGGTAGCGGGGACCTCTGCTTTCCAGGCTGTACACCTTGCAGCTGTCACTCCTCACTGCCTCTGTGTCACTGCTCGGTGTCACTGCTCGGTGACATGGCTAGCTGAAGAGCGTGCTGTCTTCTCAGCCTCCATCCCTCTTGAGAAGTGGAGACACAAATGGTTGTTTTTGTTTTTGTTTTTTGTTATTTATTCTGAGCAAGTTCTTCTGTTCACCAATTTGACCTTTAGACCCAAGAATCGATCAGGGCAGGATAATGCCATCAAGGCCTTGTGACGCAATGAAGGCGTGAGGACCCAGATTATCTACTTTATTGTGTATTTCTATCTTGGCCAAAAATTTAGCTTTTGTGCCTTGTCTGTGGTGCTTAGCTTAATGCCTGGTAATTGAGCAGTCAGGTATTTATTGAATAAACGATTGGTTGGTCACGACATCATCAGTGATACCTGTCATGTAATTAACCAATCTACTTTTCTGGGGAGAGGGAGCAGAAAAATGAGGGTGTTGGAGGCCAAAATTACCTTTATTAATTTTTTTTATTACTGGCAAATGATTTGCAGAATTGATTAAAATGCCGTATGTTGTCTTTTTACTTGGCTTACACTTTTAGAACGATCTTCCCTGTAGCGGTGTCTTGCTATCTTCTACACGTATGCATTTGCATTAGAAATGGGGTGGGAGGAGTGCCTGGGTGGCTCATTCAGTTAAGCATCTGATCCTTGGTTTTGGCTCAGGTCATGATCTCACAGTTCGTGGGACCCTGCCCTGTGTCAGGCTCTGTGCTAATAGCACTGAGCCTGCGTGGGGTTCTCTCTCCTTTCTGCCCATCTTCCTCATGCATACATGCAAGTCTGCTCTCTCTTTTTTCTCTCAAAATAAATAAATAAATATAAAAAAAATAAATGGGTAAAGGAAAGAAATACAGTGCAGAATGTTTGACAGGTAGGTTATACATGACAATATACCCTTCTCCAGGTTTGCAGATACATGTGAGGATTGTGGGAGAGTTCTTAATTATATGAAAACTCCATATTCCATTTGGATCACTTCTGAGCATAGGCCATTTGCCTTTTTAGAGATGAGAAATAGCCCAAGAGAAGTCAAGTTGACTTGCTTAAGTTCACATAACAAACAGAGGTGCGACCAGAACTCAGGCTTCTTGAATCCCAGGAGATTTTTTTTCCTACCTAAAGATATATGAATTGACTATTAGTCTGTGCTTTGGAAACTGCAATAGATAAATAAACATGTAAAATTTTGAACATGCCGTGTAGCATATTGTTTTGGACTTAGAGATTAGTAGGTATAACCTTAGTACTGATTTTTTTTTTAAGTGTAGCTACAATCTTCTCAGGTGTTAGCATGGGAATTGCAATGTGGGTGCCTGAACTGGTCCGTCTGAGGCATCTGTTTGTATCGAATGTATGGTGGTGAGTTCATTGGGGAGAGAGATGAGGGGAAGGAGAAGTAGAAAAGTGAAGAACTGGGATGATAGATATGAGAGTATGGTAGTTGCCCCCCTGAAGTCTGAGTCCTGTGGAGAGAAAAGGGCACTTCTTATTTTGTGAGCAACAGAGGTTTGGTTCCCCCCCACCCCCCGCCAAAAAAAAAAAAAAAGAATTGCAGCCCTGTTTAGGGAGTATCAGCATTAGAAAATTGGGTACTGGATAGGTTGGTGCTTTCATGGAAGACACTTAGTGTCTTTTTTCAAGTGGCATTGTGTACATAGGACATCAGCAGACAGAACATCAAGAACTTTCTGAGTACCTGTGAACAATATGAGGAGCCCCAGAAATAATTGGCTAATTTTGTGGTGTTGTGTATTTTATAAGTTTCACATTAATGCAAGTAAGAGTACCAAGCCAAGGAAATTTAAGCGAAAATGTCAATGGAACCATGTCTGTTTCTGTAAGACAGGATTTTTATTTAGGTTGCTTAAGATTTTTCAGTGTTTTTTTTTTCTTCCAGTGGATTTCAAGTTTTTGTTTTGTTTGTTTTTTGTAGAGTCTTATCTTTAAAAAACATAATTGGAAACCGCAAATATGAGAGCATATGGGCTGTGCTTGAAGCAGGAATTGGGGTTCCAGAGACCTGCTCACTATGCACCTCTAAATACTCCCCTGAAAAGAGGCATCTGAGGCACCTCTGAGGAATTCCCAGGGCTCTCTAGAAAGAGTGCGAAAGCGGGCTGAAAATATTGAATATTTTGGCTTGTTTTACTGTGTATTACCAAGAAGTGTATATATTAATTTTTCTGCGTGATCACGGCTTTCTAAGTCAAGAAAACCAGAACCTGGATTAAAGGGCAAGGTTTGGAAATTAAATGATTGTTAAGAGATTAGATTGTTAGAGAATTCCCAGGAAGTTTATGTTTCTATTTCAAAGAGGTATAAAACTCTGAGCCTTGGAGACATTCAGGATTGAGATTGTAAAGCTGTAAAATTAATCTTTCCCTCTGTAAAGTTAATCTTCTCTCCCTGAGACATTTATTTACATTCCAAAGGGTAAGAACTCAGAGACCTTCCCTTTTCTTCCTAAGGAAAATTTGCTTACATTAGGAAGATTAACTTTTTTCTGCCTTTCTCAGGGAAAGGTGGCAATTGGGCAGCTATAATATACATACTCCCAGATTTATACTTTTGGGGATCTTTCCTGTGGTTCAACCCCTGTATGTACAGGCCTAACCAACTGGCTGTCTTACAATGCCTTGACATATTAGATATACGTACCTAATATCATGACCTGAGCTGAAACCAAGAGTCAGATGCTTAACTGACTGAACCACCCAGGCGCCCCTTGGCCTAATTATTTATGCAAGCCCAGGAAGAATAGCAATTGGCCTTATAGATCTTTTAAAATCTGCTTCGCTGGAACTTTTCATGAGGAATCTCAATTGAACTGTTAGTAGCCTCTCTAGGCCAGAAGCCAAGCCAAATACTTGTCATCAGACATACCTCCAATACGAGATTTGGGCGATTTCCTCTTCGAGGTCCCCAAAGTATCCTGAGGTTCCTGCACCTGCCAGGAAGTGACATTCTTTACTCACCTGGTAAGGCTGCTGGGAACTCTGTAAGCAGGGTATCAGGCCAACATTTCCAAGGGACTTTATGACTCCGTGTTTCATAAAGTCAACTTCAGTTCCTTAAAGCTGTCTGGTCATCTGAGTCTATGCATGTCTTTCTCAGATATGGCATTCCAGTCTAAACCTTGGTAAAACAACTAGTGTTTCCAATGGTTTCCTGTTAAAAGAAGAACAGATTCTTTTTTTTTTTTTTAAATTTTTTTTTTCAACGTTTATTTATTTTTGGGACAGAGAGAGACAGAGCATGAACGGGGGAGGGACAGAGAGAGAGGGAGACACAGAATCGGAAACAGGCTCCAGGCTCTGAGCCATCAGCCCAGAGCCCGACGCGGGGCTCGAACTCCTGGACCGCGAGATCGTGACCTGGCTGAAGTCGGACGCTTAACCGACTGCGCCACCCAGGCGCCCCGAGAAGAACAGATTCTTATTGAACTTAATGCAAATAACTATGATTACCATGGAAGAAAGGATACTCACTGAGACTTTTTGAACTTCAAAGGGTTCAGATAGAGAGAAAAATTAAATACTTCAATTTGTTTACAAATGAATACCACATTTCTGTAAGTCATAGATATCTTAAGAGAAAGTTTCCTTAATCTGGAAGAGCAAACGTTACAGAACCAGCAATGTTTCAAACAAGAGTTACAAAAACTGTAATAATTTTCCCCAATTCACTTAGTTCCATGTTACTAATTCTGGTTCAGTTAGAATGCAGCTTTTTAGTTAGTTCTGGAGGTTCTTACCCATTTCAGTTTTATGATCTTAAAGATGTCAAATACCTGTATTTGTCAAAAGCCCTTTTTATAAATCTCCTTGAAGACAAAATTCATTTTGCAAGAGCATCAGAACAATAGCTATAAATCACAAAGACATTGTTAACAATCTGGTGAGAGTTCATTATGATGCATTTGGCATGAAAACTTGGTTATGTCTGTAACACGAAACAGTTTAATAATCAGAATATTGAGTGATGTCCTTATCCCAGAATATAACATATCAAGTAAACAAGATGAATTAGTCACAGACTTCAGTTTACAATTTTAAATCCTGGGGAAGTTTGTTAAAACTTTAGAAAGTTTTTATTTATTTTTTTAATGTTTATTTTTTTTTTGATAGAGACAGAGACAGAGCGTGAGCAGGG